CCCGAAGCATCTGATGTTCCCCAGCTCCGCGCCGCGCCGGGAGCAGGTGGCTGCCCCTTGCGCCGGGCGTGCGCTGAGCCCAGGCCAGCTGAGCATGGTTGCAAAGCCTGCGGCAGTCCGGGAGAAAGCAGGGAACGTGGGGCGCGGACCAGGAGACAGGGACCCCCAGGGCCGCGGGAGCAGGGTGGGCGTGCCCTCCGCCCGGAGCTGGGCGCCACCGCCGTAGCCCCGCGCGTTCGCTCTCGCGGCGTCCAGAGGCCGCGACACCTAGCGCGGGGCCGCGGCGTGGAAGGAAGGGCCGGGAGGGAGGAGGAGACCCGGAGGAAGCCGCTGGCCGGGCAGCCCCGCTCCGCCGAGGGCCAGGAGAGGAGACTCCCAACCTTTCCTCCTACCCCGAAACTTTTCCAACGCACGCAGGCGTATTCCTCACGGGTTTCGGCGGCTCCGAGTCGCCATCAGGGAGGAGGCTCGGCCAACAAACACGTCCCCCAGCACACGTGCGGAGGTACACAGGCACACCGGGGGGGACTGGGCCTCTGGGGAGGTGGCTGAGGGCGTGATGGCAGTAGGCGACTTCACAGTCGAAAGGGACTCCCCGCGCGCGAGAACCAGTGGTTAAAAACCTGCAAAAGCTGGGAAATGTAGCAGTGCCCCAGGCTGTGCGTAACTTTGCCCACTGCGCCCCCGCGTGCAAAGGCGTCCCCACGCACTCACACCCTCACCCACCCCACTCTAGGTTGCGGCCCCAGCTTGCCTTTGTATTTTTGTCACAGCGAACGGTATGCTAATTTGAGCCAAAGAGGGAGGGGTGTAAATTGAGTGAATTTCGCTACGTGGCACCCCCAGTTACCGAGAGAGTGTGTCCCGTTCTCCCCGAAAGCATACCCTCCGCTTCCCTTGGCCCTTCCTTCGGTCTGCAGCGTTTTTACTGCGGTGGACTGAAGATACAGCACAGTTGATTGATGTGCTTTTTACTGAGATCAGGCCTTTCCAAATCCTATCCCTCAAAGAGCCGAATAGGGTTGGAGAAAGGCACAGTATTTCGGGGGGCAGCAGCACCCCTCCCAAGGCGCGCGCGCGGCCTGGCGGGCGCCTAGCCCGGCTCCGCGCGGCCGGGCGGAGCGGCTGGATTATGTAAGTAACAGCCCTCCATGTGCTCACCGCCATCTGTTAATATCTTGATATTGGAAAGTTCGGTGCCTGAGGCAAAGCCAGGGTTGGCGGCGCGGAGCTCCCAGCCTTCTCGTTTCTACTCCAGGGCAAGGAATGTACCTCCCTTTGATTGTTTTTGCCGCTTCCATAAAATCAAGTCGTAGTTTGCCCCTTTAGTCTCCGACACCGACCCCTCTCCCCGAGGGCGGGGCCTGTCGGGGAGCAGTGATCTGCTTCGAGGTCCCTTGACCGGAAAGAATCCTTTCGATGAGCTGATACTTTTATGACAGTTCTAGGTTCTTTCAGGCTTCTTGTGGCGGACTATGCATTGGGGTGGGGGCTGTATTATTTTTTAAAATTACTTTTTCTGCCAGCACCCTGACCCAAAATTCTTGTAAACGTTATATCTTGTAAACTCCTTTGGAGAGATTCGCCTGTTTACTTTGAAAGCTGTTGGTTAAACAAACATCACTCCGGAGGCTTCTAAGCAGTGGGGGTTCCCAGGAGAGAAATGCGCAGCTGCTATTGCTACTGATCTTGTGGCATTTCACCCCCCCACCCCCACCCCATTCAGACCTTCACAACAAATTCAGGTTGGGCTTGGCGTCACACTGGGCACAGGGACAGAAGTGTTGGGGGGGGATATGGAGGTCACTCAGTCTGCCTCTGGATAGCCTGAAGCAGGCCGGCCTGCACCCTGGAGTCGGTTTTTCTTTCTTTCTCTTCCCCTCTTCAGGGGGGTGGTGGTGGTGGTGGTGGTGGTGGTGGTGGTGGTGTTTGGCCGATGGGGTGTGTCTGTGCGCGTGTGTCCGGGCAAGATCTCCTTCATCTTCCTGAAATCCATGCCCACGTTTGTCTCTCAGCTGGATCTGGTTGAGATTCCCAGAATCGGTTTGTTTAGGGATCTGGGGATAGTTATTCGCAATGTTGAAATTGCTTATAGCAGTCCTCTCTCCGGTCTCCACCTAACGGCTTTGCGCAAGAACATTGGGGGGTGGTGAACAATACACCCAGGAAATATCCGGGTGAACTGTGTTTAACCCAGAACCAGATGCACAAGTGATTACTGCAACTTTGACTAAGAACACACAGATCAGCCTTCAGATAAATAAGTAAACGCAGCCTGCAGGGCTGGGGTTTGTTGGAAAACCAGTCAGAATTTGGGTTAACTTTTAAGTTATTGGGGTTATGTTGGCAGTTGGGCAGAGGAAGGGATTGACCCCCAGGTCTGGCCGCTGGTTTCCGAGATGGAGCCAATATCTAGGCGAGTTGTGGTCTCCGAGCTGACTGACCGCTTCTCCCCTATCAGAAAACAAAACCGGGAGTCGCCCCAGATACTCGCTCCAGGGCGGCTCGAGACCTGGGAGAGCGCCTCAGCTCTGGCAGGAGGGGTTGGCCAGGAGCCTGGCTCGTACGGCGTCCCGACAGCAGGGGACGGGACAGGGCCCCGCAGACGCGGCTCACAGAGCTGGGCTGAGGACCGAGCTCGCTCGCCCAGCGCCGCGCGCGCTCCTATTTCAACCACCAGCTCCTGCGCCCTAAAGCGGGCTGCGAACTGCCGCGGCCGAGCATGGCGAGCCGCGAGCCTCCGCCGCCAAGGCTGGGGCTGGGGGCGCCTCCCTGTTTGCCAAGCGGGCTACCCCGACTTCGACTCAGGGAGCGATAAGGGGCTTTTCCCGCCGCCCATTCCGGAGCGTAGTGTGTGCAAAAGGTGCATCCGAGCGCTAGGTGCAATTGACGTAAACTTGTGGGCTACAGTTCGAGCCACTCCTGCCAGAGTTTGAGTCTTTTCTCTCTCTCTCTCCGCTTCCTTTCTTCCCTCGGTTCTCCCTCCTCCTTCCCTGCCCTCTCCCTTGTACATGTCTAACTGCGCAGATGGTTTTAAGGCGTAGAGGGCACAAACCCTTTACTCCTACCAGTTCATGTGTGGGCTGGCTCTAACACGGACCCACTGGGATACTTCAAGAAAATAATAGGACGAAAAAGAAGAAAGGCAGTATCCTTGATCCAAATTGCTCTGCTCAAGACACCCGCTTACCTCGAAAGGACCCAACCAATATAAACAGTATTCCATGCTGCATCTTGTGGGCACGTTGATAGATTACTTCTGTCCCCAGCCTAAATTGTCACGTCTCGATTAGGCACACTTGATACGATCGGTAGCCCGCGAGCGGATCCCTGGAAGTGGGAGCGGCGTGTTTGCGCGCCTCTGTGTTGTGTCAGTCAAGGGGCGCAGGGAGTGTCTGAAGGCTGCGAAAGGGAAGACGAGAATGCTGGGGATGCTCAAGCAAGTCTCCGTTCTCATCCTGGACGCCTAACCTGGCCGGCCTGATTTTTCCCCCTTCTTTTCCATGTGTGAATCCCCTGCCAAAAGTTTCCTACAGGGTATAGAGTTGGACGTTATCATTGCTATTATTCCAAGAGAAGACTTCCTCACAGTTTGATGAATTGCGGGCTGCAATGCTCACTGTCCCAGCAAAGTTGGGTGTGTGGGTGGGTGTGTGTGCGTGCTTGCAGAACCTGGCGGTTGTTTTCGGCCCGCGTGCTTGTAACACACCTCCTAAACACCGTGTTGTCACAGTCGCAACAGGACTCGACCTTTGATCTGATTAAATTTGAGGGACACGTGAAAATTACTTTTCCTCACCTTACCTAAGAAAATGAGTGTGTAATCGAGTAGCTATGAAGGTTTCTGCTTCGCAGCCCCTGCAAGTCCTAGCTTTTGTAGGACCTTGAAGTCATAAACTGGGTTCCTTTATTAAAAGCCGGTTACTGAGCCGCAAGAAAGAAACGTTGTAGCTGCGCTCCGGCCGCCGGGGCTGGAGGCTTCCTCCTTAGCATTGGTAACTTGCAACCCCCAAGGAGCTCTTAGAGCCACATAATCTAAAGAAATCTTGCTGGTTGTTTTCACCCAAGCTGTGTCAAACCAGAGTGAATTTTTCTATGGCTTTATATCGAAGCCTGAAATTAAGCGTTTGACATTTCTTACCCAATAAATTTTAAAGTTTGCCACTCAGGCATCGTAACTGTGTAAATCCTATTTGAAACCTGTATTTTTGGTTATTCTGGGGTGGAATGAGTGAGGGACAACTGCGAGGTAATGTTTGTTAACATTTTCTTTAAGGCTGCTGTACCTACCATACAAACAAGGATTCTTCTTCTTAATCATTTTGACGGGGGGTTGACTGGGATTAAGCCAGGGCTGGTCTGCGAATACCAGATGCGGCGGAGCCGATGTGGGAAACCTCTGGCATCTATCATTTAATCCCAAACCTTACCTCTATTTCAGTGCCCACCTCCCCTTTAAAATTCTGCAAGAGGAACATACATGTATTTTTGATACTACCTATAATCATCTTAAAAGTGGAATGATTTAAGGATGCCCACGCTCTCCTCCTACACCATCCCACCCCTAAAAAGAAAAAATCCACTTTCTCCAGTACACTCTCCCGTGCCTTCCTTCACCCAAGTCTGAGGAGCCCTCGCTCGCGCGGCCACAGGGCAAACTCCATCGGCTGTATCTGGGAAATGAAGGGGAGGGGGGGAGAAAGAGGACCTGCGTCCGGGAAGGGCGAGCGCGAGCCCAGCGCCGCTCGCGCCGTCCCCCGCTCTGCGTGGTGCCCGCGGAGGGCTCGCTCCGGCCCGGCGCCGCGATTCCGCGGCCCCGAAGCAGGGGCAGGGCGGGGATGGGGGTGGGGGCCGGGGACGGAGGCGGGGGAGGAGGAGCGCAGGTCCCCTCTCCCCTCCTCTTTTCCCAGCCCCTCACCCCCACCCCTTTTATATATTTTTTTTTTCCTCCCAAGTTCTCTTGCCTCGCTATCCCCCCTTGAATCCGAAGGCGCCTCGCGATTGGGCGCCGGGGCCGGGTACGTCAGTGAGACTGTGACGTGCAGTCTTCCTGTTTCCTTCAGCTGTGTCTTAAAGTAAATCTTGTCGTGGAGCGCAGCCCTCAGCTGAGGGAGCGCTCTGAAATCATACACCCTCGCAGCCGCGAGAGCGCGGCGGCGCAAAAGAGCTCGGCCGGGCCCGCCGCGCCCGCCCCGCGTCGCCGCTCCCCGCGCCGCCCCGCGCCTCCGCTCCGCTCCTCCGCGCCCCGCCGCTCTCCCGCGCCCTTCGCGGGTCTTCGCCGCTCTCCTCCTCGCTCCCCGTCTCCTCTCCCCGCCCTCCTCACTCTCTCCCCGCTCCTGCTCGCCCCGATCGCCCGCCTCCTCGCCGCCCGTCCAGACTCACCGTCCCTCGTCCAATTATCATATTCATCACCCGCAAGGTAGCGGCGGGCGTGAGCGCGCGCGTGTTTTCCTCTCCGCCGGCAGGGGAGAAAAAAAAGGCTCAGTCCCCCTGCTCTCGGCGCCGCGTAAGTATCTTCTGTCCCCTCGCCAGTCCCCTCCCCTTTTCCAGAATCACTTGTACTGGCTTGTTCTTGAATGGGAAGAAAAGAGACTCCCATGACTTACACCCGTGTCAACATTTCTTTTTCAGGAGGAAACGGTGTTATTTAAATGAATCGTAATAAAATAACCTCTAAACAGTTTCTGAGCAGGAGCCTCAGTGGAACTCCGCGCTGCGCTCCTCCCAGTTCCTAAGAGTAAGTGATCCGCTCGGCTTTTATTTCTTTCTCTTTCCTGCCGGTGGCTGGGGGTGGTGTTGGCGCGGGGGGGGGGGGTGATACTGCGGGACGTGTCGCTGATCTTGTCACCTTTTGTGTGCCGTGGCTGGGGTGTGCGGGGGCGCTTGCTTCCTTTCCTCTTTCTCCTGCCTTCTCTCTACTCAGGAGAGGGGACCGCGGCGGGGATAGGGTCGCTTTTTGTTCGTCTGGGTCCCCGCTTTCCGCCAAGCCTCATCCTTCCCATCTCTCCCGGTTAAAACTCCAGGGCTAGTCCCCGCGTCCCTTCTCTTTGTCTAGTTTATTATAGCTGCCTTTCTTCCAGGCTCTTCCAATTTGCTTGCCATTTGCATACCTTTCACTTCTCCTTTTAACCCCAGCGGAGAGCCAGGGAGGAGAGAGGCGGGGAGAGGGAAAGGGGGGCGCTCTGTTACTTTCCTCTCTAAACGCTGTCGGAGGCGAAATGTTGAAATCGGGGTTGGAGCGGTGCAGAGATGGTCCCGGGCAACGAGCGCGGCGCCCCTCTCCTGAGCTCCAGGGAACCTGGAGTAGGTCAAGTTGAACGGGGTAAGGCGGCTCCCGGAGCCTCAGGGGGGCGGGGGCGGGGGCAGAAGAATTGGTGCCCCGGCGTCGCGGGAGGACAGAGATCGAGGTCCGGGTGGGGGGTGTTCTTGGGCAGCGGACTTGCAAGGCCGAGGCTCCCTCAGTCATCGCTGGCAGGCTACGGTGTTGGACTGCTTCGATCTTGTCTTGGCTGCGTGGTACCTACAGTTTTGCCCCAGTTTGGAGGACTGGGGAGGGGGCAAAGGAGAGGCGAGAGTAATTGTTACTGGATGGAACGGTGAGGAGGGCGGGAAGAGGTGCTATCTTGCCGGAACAGACAAGGAGGGGGGCGCGGGGTGGGGGCGTGGGGGGTTGGAGAAGAGACATCACCCAAAGTCCAGTTTAGCGAGTTGTTGGTTGGTTCCTCTGGTGTGGCAGCCAGTTACTCCTCCCGCTGACACTGAACGCCGCTGGAGAGTGTGGATTTGGGATGGGGGGGAGCGGGGAGGTAGAGGAAGAGTAGCTTTCGAGAGACTCCAGGTCTCCGGCCCCTCTGAGCCCTTTGGAAGTTGAGTCCTCCTGGCCGGCCGAGAAAAGAACCAGGAGGAGGGGTTGGGCGATAGCCTTAAATAGCCCAAGGAGGCAGGTCGGAGTGTGAAACTGCTGCTGTTCTTGGCAATCCAGAACCCTGCTCCGCCTGGGGGAAGGCTGGAAACTCACCTGCTTGTTTTAATTTTTCCAAGAAGGTCTGTGTTGTCTCCTTGAGCTTATAAAAACAGAGCAAGCACAGGATGGCCTCCTCTCAAAGTCAAGGCTAGAAGTTTCTTCTCTTGTGCTCTCTCTCTCTGCTCTCTCTCTCTCCCCTCCCACCTATACCCCCCCTTACAAAAAAAAAGGCATTTCCTTTCCTAAACTAGGTAGGCAGAGGTCTATCAGCAGAATACGCATGAGCAGGGCCTGACAGGTGTGTTGTGTCAAGAAAGACAGGTGCAAATTTCCTCTGTGTCTGTGTGTGTCTGTATCGTTCCAGACCACAATGCATGCCCTGGAGTTGTAGAGATTTATGAATTTATGGTTGCCCTGGTTAATAGGATTGTCCGGGCTAATGGGAGTGGGCTGTTGTTATGTTTTGAGCCCTGCCGTGTGAGTTCTTTGGTGGAGGGTAGGGGACAAGTTGTTATGTGTTTGTTATTTTTCTTAAGGATGTTGGCAGGCTGCTGCCGAGGCTGTGTCTCAGGCTCCTGTCTGCCAGGCGGCTGAAAGTACCCCCACTCCAGGCAGCAGGTGGAGGGAGATTGACTTTCCCTTTGCTTCCGTTCGGTTTATGTCTATCTCCCAGGTCTGGGGAGGTGGGGGGAGTTGCCTTTTGTGTGTGTGTATTTTGGACAGCCGTGGGTGGTGTGTGTAACTGCCAAGAATACCAAAGTCAGTTTGAAAGTGTTACTGTTCGTAAAGCTTATCTTTTTAGCGTGCTTTCTCTCTGCCCAGAAAGAATAGGTATGTGCAATAAACTCTTTCAAGTCATATGTTAAATATTCTCATAAAGTAGAATGAGCCTGTCATTGTACCAGACATGTGCCAGATGTTCCAGTTATTACTTTGATGGGGAAGGAAAATCTCAAGTACGTGAGAGGTAACTGTGCTTTTCTGTTTGATGCAAGATGCGGGCAGTCAGTTCTATGAGGAGTTTCTTGCAAGAACTTCTGAGTATTTTCAAAATGAAATGGGCTGTGTGTGATGAGGAAGCAAGAGGGGAATACTCAGGTTAGGCTGTCCAAACAGCGTAACTTGCCTATGTTTATGTAATGGTAAATTAGATGATGGTAAGGACTGCGGCTTAATGTATGAGGGAAGATGTTGGAAATTCAATGTAAGCGCCGTGTCTGGATTCTTATCACTTGATCTTGTAAATTTCTCATTACACAGGCTACTTCTTGAGCTGCCTAGAATTAGGTTGGATGGTGAATTGTTATTGTTTGGTTTTGTTGCTTGGGTGACGGTCATTGCTTTCATGAAAATAAGAAAATACGTGTTATTTATTCTTTAGTCGTAAACAGCAAACTCTTCCTCCAACACTTTCCTTGGATGCTTTTGAAGTTCTTTGGTAATGAAAATGTCATCGATGGATGTGTTCTTTTGCTTATTTTTAATAAGGGTTACCTGTGCTGACACTTACTGATATTTTTATGTATCCATTATGCAGAATTGTATTTAGTGTAATCACCACCTTGTGGGAAAAAAGGCACGCATATGTAGCATGCATCTTTGTTCCCACTTTATCCATTTCCTAGCATTGGTCCTCCACAAGTGGCACTTGTAGTTTTAAAACATCATCTGGCTGCCAGGCTTGCTGTTTATTTGTTCAAAATGCAAATAGGCCCTTTCCCCCTTAATTTCTTATATCATGTCAGGAATCGTCTTGCATGTGCAATTGCTAATATGAGAAATGCTTTAGGTTCAGGATTCACAAAAGAAATTATGAAATGTTCCTGATTTCACCATATGAAGATGGATTGTGCATGATATGTTATTATAGGATTCTAATTAAGTACCTGTATGCATGGGAAAGGACATGTACATTAGGAATTTCTCAAACCTTGTTTGTTGCCTAGTGTCTTCTGAAGCTTCAGAGGACATTTAGAGTATTTCAGATTTTGAGAAACAGAAAAAAAAATGTGTTTTTTCTTGAGATTATTTCTCACTCTGATTTGCTAATTTGGCGAATTCTGACTTTTTAAATAAGTAGAAATGAGTCATTAGGCATGCGTCAGAAAATGTGCTGTGCTTATTTGGCTGGTGAAAAATGTATGGCCTTTTTGATAGGATGGAGAGCTTTTTAATGAAATGGTGATGATCTGAGAACTCTATTATGATAGTCCATTTTACCATCTCATAGAAGATTTTGACAATACAGTCTTAGTTAATTTAAATATGCACCCAACAACAAGTGAATTCTTCACAATAAACAGCAAAGGTTTTCTCAACCTGATAGTAGGCAGAAACACCTCCGAAGGAAAAGTTGCTACTTGGCAAAAATGAACTCTTGAACACAGTGAAGGGGACTGCTCAGGGATTTGAGTGGGGGGGTGGGGGGAGTTACCTAAATCAAATCATCGGATTTTTCCCTTAAATTACTGATTTCCGGATTGATTGATTAATGATATTCCATTGGAAATTCCATCACCAGCTCGATCTGAGCAGATGAAAGGCCCGTTCGAAGGTGGTTTTCTAAAAGAAGTAAAGGGTAAGCTCGAGCACTTTCTTCAAATAATTTTATCCACAAAGACAGATAATCTCAATAATCCAACCAGGAAACTGTACCAACCTCACACTTCCTCTGCCTCATAAAAGATTTGTCTGAACTATCTGGATAATTACTGTAATGAAACACTTCTTTGTCCAGAATCTGGACTCCACAGAGATGCATAAAAGTTGCACTGCCCTCCCCCAGATGAGTCCTTTATTAAAGTAGGAGCCCTCGGCCGCTTTCTGCTTCACGCTGAAGTGTGCCTTCAAAATCCTTCCCTAAAAATTCTTTTCTGCTACCACGAAGTCGCCAAGTTCCTTAGGATTATGTGCAATAGAAGGTCAAATAAGTCCAATTTTAACCAAGCATCTTTTGGAGTAGTTAAAATCTGACTTGATTATACCTGGATGTTTGTTCTTATATTTTGCGGGGAGGAGTCTGCTATGCTGAGATATCCGTAGCATAGGAATTATTAGAATATTTGTGTAGTTTGATGCCAAATGGTGCCACAAAAGATTTAACGGTGAAAATTATTCTCTATAGATTTTCACATTAAGTAAAGAGGAGTTTATAAGGGTAGACTATGTGTATCTGGTCAATAACACATTTGGATTCAAATTCAACATCAGTATTTTTCTTCATACTTGCGGGTAATTGATGTTCATCCCTGTTGATTAAGAGGTTTTACGTTGCTTGGTTAAATTCAAAATCCACGTTCAAATGAAAACACAAGGAGACAGGAATGCTGGGGACATAGTCGGCAGCAGGCAGAGGGGAGACCAACTGGGAGATGGATCGACTGCCTCAAGGAAGCCGTGGGCACACGTCGACAGGAGCCGAGCAGGGCTGTGGGGGACTGGGCGTTGGGGGCCTCACTCCTTCACGGGGTCACACCGACTCCACGGCACCGAACACATGCAGAAATCAATAATAGTTGTAACTGAAACATTCTGCCTTAGCACACACGTTGAGAAATAAAGGACTTTGAAAAATCTTGGTGCACAGGGTAGTGTCAGTTGTAAAGTCATGGCATACCCGTCTCTGAATTCTGAATTGGGAGATCACGGAAGGGCTGTGAAAGTGTTTCCAAGCTATTTAATTTGCATTACAGTCATTTAACAGTGAGTTTTCTTCTGGGGTAAGTGTACTTACATATACATCTTGTTTGTGAAACATCATGCTGGTGTACTGTCAACCAGTTATAATTACTTGATCTTGTCTGGAGCCTCCATGGGTTATAAGCCCAATGTGCACTAATACCTTTATTTCTAAGTTTAGGTCTAGGCTATATGGACAGACATATTTCTTTGTGCCTATTAATAGAATGCCTTGTCTTGCTGGATTATATAATTTTCCCCATTTGTTTCATCCCATTTACTATGTCTCAGCTGGACATCTTACAACAAGACCTAAAAGTAATTCAATTCGCTTAGCCCACAACAGAAACGGGCCTTTATTTAATCTAAAAACGCTGACTGGTTGAAAGAGAATTGCAAAAACCAGAGTAGTTTGGTGAAGCTGGAGGAAGTTACAGGAGACTGTGTTTTTGAAAAGACCCAACAAGCCCTGAAGACAAGAGTATCATTTCTCTCCACCTTAGGAAGAGCACAGCCCGCCTCTTGGCCCTGGCACGAGGCAGGGATGCAGCTGTTGATACCTAGGCTGGAGGGGAGGAAGTGCAGTTGACGCAGAGGTAGATGGCAGCTGAGAAGGAAGGATGCCTGGGGGTGACCTTGTGCTGCGTCTTGCACAGCCTGTCGGTGCCGAGTCTCTGTGGCAGAGGTTCTCTTCCCATAGCGAGGGTGGGAAGGAGGAAAATCCAGGGTGGGCGTGAGGGTGAACAGGGGGGAGGAAAACACAGCGGAAAGTTTGTTCAATGTTTTCATTGGAGAGCTGTGCGATCTTCAGGTGATATGAAAGGGGAAAAGATTTGAACACAGACAGAACAGGTAAACATTTAAAATAATAGCAGTGAACTCTGTTTTGGGAAAGCTGATATGCGTGCAAAGAAAGACTCAATATGCAAGTCTTTCTGAGCTTTGAAATAATTCATCCTTTTTCTTGTTTGTCTCAGGCTTTCCTTTTTTCCCCTCTCACCTGACAGCTACACCTGATTTATCAGATCTAATATGTTAGTGAACAATTTGTCATTGCAGTTTTGTATTCCTGAAACCAATTTTATTATTCATGTGTGAGAGATCTCGATTATTCCAAATTCGATTTTGAACCCAATATTGAAGTTGTGAGGGTCTGTTCCCATTCTACCTTCAGGACATTTTATCCTGAGGCATGTAAAAAGTACTTTATTCTCAAGCATACAAAAAATATACTTAAAGAGGTATCATCCTGCTTTCACGATCCCCTAAACCAGGCTCTTGTAAAATGCATCTTCTTACAGAAGGCAGGGGCAAGGACTGCGTGATGAAATCTTTCTCACTTAAAAAAAATGTAGACACGCTGCCGTCTAAGTGCTGAGCATTTTCTTAATTTTTACAGGTTATTTCATGCTGAAATTATGCCTATTTGCATGGATAGTCATTCTTTAAAACTAGCCACAGATGCAGTCCTAGGGAGCACGTAGATGTTTTTACAGGTGAACCGAAAGAGATGGGAGCTGTTCCAGGCACTCTGCACGCTGCCTTTGGCAATGCACCCTGTTATTGTGAAGATGTGCTCCGTTAAGCAAACGTGAAGTTTAATATTAGATAAACCCTGGGTGAAAAAAATATTCTCATTTGCTTCCTGAAATGTTAATTGCAAGCAAAAAAAGCTGTGACATCTTATGTTTAGTGCCAAATTTGGGGTTAGCAACACTACTTAATAAGTCACAAAATATGTCAAGTGCTTTTTATAAAATGCAAGGAAGGGTGATCTCTTTTTATATTGTGTTTCCAAGGAACAGTGGAAGTTCACAGGCAGAGAAGGTATTTCCTTCGTGTATTGGAGTGATGTTTTCTTTCTCCTTCCTACATCTTTTTTTGCCTGTTTTTCTGTTTGTTTCTTAAATCTGGCATATGACATAAGATTCACAAGTGGCATGTGTTAGAGAGCTTCTTTAAGCATGTGGAGTATTATTTTGGCAGGTTTTTGACAGAAGAAAACTAGTCCTGAAGATGTATTTATTCTTGTCTAACTCAGTTTATTGATTTCTAAAATGGAACAATGTCGTTCTTTTGCAGTGAGTTCAACTTTATGGTAATTTTATGTCCTCAGAAAGACATCATGAAAATTTATAAATATTCTCATACTTACATGAAAAAACCCAACAGATACCATCTTCAAAAGTGATTTTACAACACAAATGCATATCTCTGTTAAATAAGCAGTATTTGCAATATGAGTATTTTTGCATTTATTTCAATGTTAAACTGACCATTATGCGGGAAAGATGCTGATGGGATTTCACATATGACAAAAATATTTTAAATTTCAGTAATAAAGGGTGTGCGTCTTAAATATTTGCATTTATTTTGGAGTCCTTTCCCTTTCATGGCCTTAAAACCACAAAAATTTTAATGCAGAAATGGAATTTTGCATCCAAATTTCACACAGCCTGAAAATGTAACCTTATTTCTTAGGTATAGCCCACTTTCATCTTCTTTCGTAATGTCAGTCTCAATGCCCAAAATTTAATCAATTGGTTGTCAGAGGCTGTGTACTTATAATCTACTATTTCTTCTGAAGATAAACAGTATCATTTTAGGCATTTGTGAAAGAGAATCATATTACTGGTGCTTAAGCAGTTTTTGCTTTTTTTTTTTAATCTTAATCCATCTTAAACCAGTGGAGCAGAAATATTTAAAAATGTTTCATTTCAAGCGGAGTGCATAATAAATTGCAATAATTGTAATGTGCCATAAATCCCAGAGCCTATGCATTTTGCATTTGATTCAGGATTGAGGTCAGGAAATTTGGAGAAATTTAAAGAAAATGATTCATCAGTCCTTTTGTTCTGTTGGCCAGGGTCCCGGGATTCTTGAGCTGTGCCCAGCTGACGAGCTTTTGAAGATGGCACAATAACTGTCCAGTGATGCCTGACCATGACAGCACAGCCCTCTTAAGCCGGCAAACCAAGAGGAGAAGAGTTGACATTGGAGTGAAAAGGACGGTAGGGACAGCATCTGCATTTTTTGCTAAGGCAAGAGCAACGTTGTTTAGTACCATGAATCCCCAAGGCTCCGAGCAGGATGTTGAGTATTCAGTGGTGCAGCATGCAGATGGGGAAAAGTCAAATGTACTCCGCAAGCTGCTGAAGAGGGCGAACTCGTATGAAGATGCCATGATGCCTTTTCCAGGAGCAACCATCATTTCCCAGCTGTTGAAAAATAACATGAACAAAAACGGTGGCACGGAGCCCAGTTTCCAAGCCAGCGGTCTCTCTAGTACGGGCTCCGAAGTACATCAGGAGGATATATGCAGCAACTCTTCAAGAGACAGCCCCCCAGAGTGTCTTTCCCCTTTTGGCAGGCCTACTATGAGCCAGTTTGATATGGATCGCTTATGTGATGAGCACCTGAGAGCAAAGCGCGCCCGGGTTGAGAATATAATTCGGGGTATGAGCCATTCCCCCAGTGTGGCGTTAAGGGGCAATGAAAATGAAAGAGAGATGGCCCCGCAGTCTGTGAGTCCCCGAGAAAGTTACAGAGAAAACAAACGCAAGCAAAAGCTGCCCCAGCAGCAGCAACAGAGTTTCCAGCAGCTGGTTTCAGCCCGAAAAGAACAGAAGCGAGAGGAGCGCCGACAGCTGAAACAGCAGCTGGAGGACATGCAGAAACAGCTGCGCCAGCTGCAGGAAAAGTTCTACCAAATCTATGACAGCACTGATTCTGAAAATGATGAAGATGGTAACCTGTCTGAAGACAGCATGCGCTCGGAGATTCTGGATGCCAGGGCCCAGGACTCCGTAGGGAGGTCAGACACTGAGATGTGCGAGCTAGACCCGGGGCAGTTCATTGACCGAGCCCGAGCCCTGATCAGGGAGCAAGAGATGGCTGAAAACAAGCCCAAGCGAGAAGGCAGCAACAAAGAGAGAGACCACGGGCCAAACTCCTTACAACCAGAAGGCAAACATTTGGCCGAGACCTTGAAACAGGAACTGAACTCTGCCATGTCGCAGGTCGTGGACACTGTGGTCAAAGTCTTTTCGGCCAAACCCTCCCGCCAGGTTCCTCAGGTCTTCCCCCCTCTCCAGATCCCCCAGGCCAGATTCGCAGTCAATGGGGAAAACCACAATTTCCACACCGCCAACCAGCGCCTGCAGTGTTTTGGCGACGTCATCATTCCGAACCCCCTGGACACCTTCGGCAACGTGCAGATGCCCAGTTCCACAGACCAGACGGAAGCACTGCCCCTGGTTGTCCGCAAAAACTCATCTGACCAGTCTGCCGCCGGCGCCCCCCCTGGCGGCCACCACCAGCCCCTGCACCAGTCGCCTCTCTCTGCCACCGCAGGCTTCACCACGTCCACCTTCCGCCACCCCTTCCCCCTTCCCTTGATGGCCTACCCGTTTCAGAGTCCATTAGGTGCTCCCTCTGGCTCCTTCTCGGGGAAAGACAGAGCGTCTCCTGAATCCTTAGACTTAACCAGGGAGACGACGAGTCTGAGGACCAAGATGTCGTCCCACCACCTGAGCCACCACCCCTGTTCACCAGCACACCCACCCAGCACCGCGGAAGGGCTCTCCTTGTCGCTCATCAAGTCCGAGTGCGGCGATCTTCAAGACATGTCCGAAATCTCACCTTACTCGGGAAGTGCAATATCCTTTTCTTTCCCCCTCAGGGGAAACCGAACAAAAGGGGCTTCCCAAAGGGTCAGGTTTACACGTGTGTAGAATAACGTAGACTAGTATCTTCTTAAGAATGCAATGTTTCCTATTATTCAGAGTAATAAGCTTTTGTCAACATGCCCGTGGCACTTCTGATGACACAAAACCTTCCCACTAAACCAACATCTTTGCAACTTTCGCGAGACATGAATCGCCCCAAAGAGCTGGTATTTCATAGGTGCCTTTTCAGCAGGGTTTTTCCTGCTGTTCTTCCTGTACTATCTTCCTACCTTTTTTTTTTTAAGAGTAGAATCAGAGATGGAAAAAACATCTCATTGTGATATTGAATTCTATCAGATATATATATATATATATATATACACATACACACACATTTTAATAAATGGTAAGTTTTTATAATGGAGGAAGAGAAAAGTCAGTTTCAGATCCCTGAGATGCCCTGAGAAGAATCCCCCCTGGAAGCCGTGTGCAGGCCCCTGGGCTGTGGAAAGAAGGCCCTGGTTCAGTCTGAGCAAGAGTTCTGTTTTGGTGGGAGGGAGGTGGGTGTGGGAGGGCAGTTGGATTACCTCTTTAATCTTGAAGTGAGACGCTTTTTTTTTTTTAAGGAAATACACAGGTACTGATTTATTCAGACAGCATCGGCCTCTCTCTCGTTCGCCCAAGGTCTGCTCTTTGGGGCTGGTGCAGCTGCCTTCCATGCATGATTAACCTCTGTTCAGCCATACACAGAAATCTTTTGTCCTAACATACACAAAGCAAATTATTTTGGAAAGCGAGAGAGCACAATTAAATATAAAACTCAGCTGTATTCGACTTAAAATGGCTCTTTTTATGACTCCTTTATATTTTGAACCTGACTTTGATGTAGAGATGCCAGTTATATTTTTTTATTAGACCTGTCTTGAACTCTGGCTGTTATTTTTTAACTGATGATTTCTTTTTTTTCTCTGTAAATTGGTCCTTGCAGTAAATTCTTAAAAATCTTGCGGTCATTGGTGTTCTGGGGTAGTAGACTAGTAGCATTTGGGGGCAGGTAGCGGCATGTTTCTTTTATAATAAATTGCCAGATGGATATAAAATTTAGCAATTAAGTTGGCTGTTGCTAAATTGAGGATTTTAAGCAATTGTCTGGATGACTAGAAATTGGCATTTTAGTATCTAAGCCTACTCTAGAGGCCGCCACATTAGTGCGAAGTCTCAGCTCTGGTGGAAATGTGCTTTCCTAGGCAGTGAAGGTCATCCTTCCGGCCAAATCTTAGGATAGTGGTAAAGATTGCTGGGGAGGAAAACGGGAGCCACTAGTATGTGACCTGCTTGGGCAGTTAACCATGTCTTTCTATGGTGAGGAAGAAGAGAGTCATGTCGTGGGAGAAAGCAAGAGCACGATGTGGAGGGCCTCGCTATAGGAGCGGAAACCGAGTTTTGGGTTGGTTGCGGTTTAACTCCTGTCTTTCAAAGGCCTAAGAGTTGACTCACCCGTCATGAATCAAAACTGTGCCAAGCACCATGCCTTACCCGTTCTGAGCAGGCAGTAAACATCGGTCAGAATGGTCGGAACATGATCATTTGGTGATCATTCGGTGATGAGAAAGGCCAAGTAGAAGATGCAACAGCTTGAATGTTTTTTATACTTTGCAAGAAGAGCCTCTTCCGAGGCTCGTAGCAGACAGCTGTTCGAAGCTAGAACCCAAATCTCAGGGATCTGTTACTTCATTTTGAAGCCAATAGTGGTGATGGGGGGTGTTCTCTCTCTCTCTCTCACACACACACACGCACACAAACACACACACACGTGTGCACACACACTCACACAGGAAAAGGGCATGCCCATTTGGTGAATGTTTGAAGCCAGGTTTCAAAGTCTTCTAAGTCCACATTGCAACTCTTTAACTCAGGGTGCCAGCTCCTGTTTCTGTGTTAGCCTGTTCATTGTAATTGCCTGTCTGGGTGAGTGTGTGTTTTTAAGTAAGCTGGGTCTTCTAGCATAAAAATCATTTTGATTGTTTTAAGTGTTGGCAATGCTCATTGTCTCACCCTCTCTAAATCCCCTGAGGAATTTTAAGGATTTGAATTGACAGCAGGTCCTTTTATGGCTACGCATAGCAAAGGCTTTAAAGAGCATATAGTTGCTTCTCCTTGAGATGAATAACTTCTCCTCTCTCCTACCGACATAAGATTCTATTAAACAGTGGTCATTGGGAAGCACCTGTGTTCATACAAAATGTTAGTTGCTTGTACCTGGGGGCGTTTCTTTCATGTCGCTAAATAATTTGGGCCTCTTGTTGTCATTAATGATAACATTTTCCACCTTCCAGACTCGTATCATCTGTTTCTCTTTTCCCTCTACCACATCACACCTTTAACCATTTGTCTCACTGATACATCATTTCTTAGGAAGGAGGTAGGCAAGCAGCCTTTTCTATAGTCCACGTAGTTCTGAAGCCGGTGAGGGAGGATCGGAGTGTTCGTGGGGAGAATGGATGCCTCTCCATCCTTGTATGGCCCTGAGCTCTTCCCTGGACTTAACCGATGGTGTGTAGGCAGAACTCTCAGGTGCTCAGTGTAAAGAAATCTGGGACTCAGAGTGCACGGTGTCTTACTTCAGTTTTAGGTATATAAGCCCACATGTGAACCTGTTGGACCATCACCCCTAGAAAAGATCAGTAGAAACGAGATGAAATGGCACCACTATAATGGTCGTTATTATGTTTTTATTTTTAGTTCATGGCTTTCCAAGTGGTAATGAATAATTTAATTCTGAAGGAACAATTCTTTCCCACTCCAAAGGGCATCATCTGTTTCTCTGAACAAAGTAGCCAAGGCAAGAACTGCTGAGAACACCAGCTTCTCCGATACATCCGTTTAGGTTCGGCACATTGAGCATATATGTCCTATGTAAGAGGACACACCTCCTAGTTTTCCCTACGAATAGAAAGGAGACGGTGAGTGTATGCCTGGCAAACAGAAGGTCAGTGCACCTGCTCACGTCTTGGATATAAAAAGTGTGTTCGGTGTCTTTGCAAATGAATCTATTTAATCAAATATTAAGTTTTATTCAAATCCCCAAAGAAACAGCCAGCCAATTGTTTTTCTTCGTGATGTTCCTTGTCACTCGTCCTGTTTGCATCTCAAGAAAAATAGCCTTGTTTAGGCCCCAAGCATTTGCATGCACCCAATTAAAGCACAAGAGCAGGATTATGAGCTGTTAAGAAGTGCAGGTGAAGAAACCGAGCCTGCCCTCTGCGGCAGCCAGCTTCCCTCACTGGACTTTCAGGGAGAATGCGAACAATACCTGAAGAAGTTTAGAAAGGAACCTAGTAATTTGAAGCTAAAACCCACTGGAAAACGTGGGTTAAAAATGAATTTCTAAAATGTGCAATAATCCATAGAAGCCGATCATTCACATTTCTAAGAAGCCCTGTGGGGCCATGGTAGTGATATCAGCTATAGGGAGACATGTATATTAAAGACTGAAAGACTCTGGGTTCCTACCATTATGAAGTAAATCAAAAAATATTCACCCCCCGGGTTATGTGGAACTTCTTAGCAGAGCAACAATTACTTGCCCTATCATTTTCGTGCAAGGAGACAATTTAGATCCCTTCTCCCCATTTAAGGTTTCCCAGGGGGCAGGCCTCTTAGAAACATACCAGATCAGAGCAGAAGGAGAAAAGCTATGCTTCTTTGGGGGTTCCAAGCAGTTTAGACAGTGTAAGCAAGGGGTCCCAGTGCTCTTGGTTGGAACTGCAGCTTGTAACATCTCTAGCCACAATTCAGAGCTCAACTGGAAAAAGAATTTTCTTCCTCCTGCCTTCACAACCTATTATTCTCCCATTTGCCTTTTTGCTGCCTCTGCTGCTCCTCCCGCTGCTGCGTGTAGGTGAGGTTACATTGTGCTTGGTAAACAGACAACACGCAGATTCTCGGGTTGTTTGAACACTGCTTTAAGGTTCAGCTGTAGCACTCTACTTCTCTGATCTTTTATATTCCCGAGCAGATGTCTTTCATTAATTTATGGATTTATCATCTTTTCTTTTTTTCCCTTTTTCTTTTTTCTTTTTTTACACCTGGCAGCTGTCTCAAGTTTCAGCAGTTATTGTCTATTTTGCATCACACACAGAATTGAATGTCATCTGTCTTCACAAAGCTATGGCTAAGAGAATTGAGGCAAAGCCACATGAGCTGCCTGGACAGATCTTGTTTGCGTTCCATCCCCCCTCCCCCCACCCCTCCCTTTACCTCCTTAATATTTATTTGTGCTCATTTTCTTTCCTGGCCTTGAATGGGGCTTAGCTCGTGTTCAGTACAGCTGTATGTTTACTGAATCTATTCCATCATGAGTCATTGTGCGTGTGTAAGTATCCTGGAAACAGCTAGTGCTTTCTTGGAAGAACAGTTGCTTTTCAGCACAAGCACTTAAAAGGGAAATTAACCAATTGGTCAGTTCAGATTTATTTTGAGGAGGCAAAAAAAGGATTATCTAACTGTTGGCTTTTAAATGTTTCATTAGCTATTTTTAATAGTTTATTAGAAACATATATTTTATGGGAATTTTATCTCAATTACACGATGAGCGAGAGAGAAAGATTTAGTCTGTGTTCCATTTCAGCTGATCGATTCCAAGTATTACCAACAGGAAACGTTTCAAAGCAAAAACAGACTTGAGAAATCAAATCAGAATGATTTTTTTTATGAAATAAAAAGCCTCTGCATCCCCAACAAAATAAGATGGGTAGTTTGCCTTGTCTTCTAAGTAAAAAAGAATTAAACCATCTTAGCAAAATGTAAATACACGGGAAGCTTCAGGAAGTTTCAGTGGCCCTTTAATTGTCTGAGAACCACAGCAAAAGAATTTGTTTTGTATGAGACCACATTTTAAGCGATTTAGGGCTTTCTCCTACTAATAGTTAAACGTTCCAGGTTCCAGGTTGTTTTCATGTAGCCATATGAAAAAAAAAAAAGATTAGAACCCAGATCTGAGGATGTTTGTCGAAGTTTGGACATACCTAAAACTCTTATCATGAGGCAATAGGAGACAGCTTGCAACTATTATTTCACTCACCCATTTGGACAGATGGTCCTGAAGGGTGCTGTGCTCCTTTAGTCTCCTCTCTCCGTCTAATGGAGGTTACTGGAGGGCCTTTCAGCTCTTTCCTTGGCACAAAAAGTATGTCAGTCATAAATTATCGTCTTTGTAATCATTAAGGATCTCAAACAAAAACACAAGTTCAGTTAAGCTGCTTTGGCTTGCAGATATAAAATCAAAATTTCTTGCTTCAGCGTTTGCTTCAGCGTTTATTTTCGCTGGAGGGAAAAAAAAAAAGCCCAGTATTTAACTCTTCTATTTACAAACCAAGGTGATCATTCACAAATTTGCATGATATTAAAGGGAATGCTAATCACCTTCTCAGCAGAATATTTGGTTAAACACCCTGTTAGAAGTCGTCAAGAGCTTATCAATATTAATTCGATGGTGCTTCTGTAGCAACTTCCTGGTTTCCCTCGGTTCGCTCACTCTGTGCTTGATGGAGTCATTTGGGAACCTTTTCCTTTCCTAAATGTCTGAGTTTCTCTGACCTTTTTTTCATACAGTGTGAAATTTTTGTCGGGGAGTGAAGTACACATGCGCACATGCACACGCGCGCGCACACACACACAACATTTTTCTTTTTTTACCTTATTTTTTTCCTAATTTTTCCCAGACTCTCTTTTAAGAGAAAATCCTTAGAGAAGCTTCTAGGAAGGACCCTTAATTGACCTTGTGGGGGACCACATTGATTTTCTCCACGTGCATCTTCATTTCTGATAAATTATAAAGCCATTAATTTGCTGAGGAAATGGCAGGGCCAGGCTGCGGCACAGATGTGACCAGAGCCATCCCAGCTCCGAGTCTGCTGAGGAGTGCCAAGAATCTGGGGGAGAATCAGGAAGCCTGGATTGTTATGGTTAGCCTCACGTTCTCCCGGGAACTGTTTTAGTTGCTGCTGTTTACAGATCTAAAAGGTAATGATGTTTCCAGATAAATAGGCCTTCTTATTTGGGGTAAGTGGCCATTTATTGATCTGCTAACCCACAGTTATTGATTTGTGCACCCCAGCCACCACGCTGCTCTCCACACAGTTAACTAGAAATCCAGGAAAGGCAAATGGTACTTGGTTTTGGATCTTGGCTTTGACAAAAGCGACACCCCACCTCCCCAAAGCTACCCCTCCCCAAATTTAGCTATTATTTAAAAGGAAACAATTAAAAGGATATATTAATAAGATAGGAAGAAAGTGAGTCAAGACGCTCCATTATATTAGCACTCAAAGGTAAAATGCGGGGCTTGCCTGACAGTTTTTAAAATAATGCATTTGGTGTGTTCACGTACATTAGTATAATAATTTGATGTAAACTGCAGAGCGTGGAGAGAAAAATAAACAGAACTGTAATTGTGAAGAAGAAAAATCTGTCATGGTAAGAGTTGGGTAGCACGTATTGGGTGCATTTGTCTCCTTAGCAACAAGTGAATGTATAGATAGCGTAAGGACCTCAGACGGGGGCCCTGCTTTGCCATCCTCACCACAGACTAGTAGAGATTCTGCAGCTACATCGTGCATCCTCACCGTGGCATCTGACAGCTTCTGCCGGGCAGTGGGCCTTTCGGGCGAGCGGCAGCAAGTCAGGGATGCGTTCCGTGGTCCGTGCCCTTCACCTCCCAGCATTCCCACGGCTGCTGGGTGGGCCTCCAGACTCCCGGCGGTGGGGAGGCGGTTGGCCCTGTGTTTGAAGCTATGTTGTCCTTAACCAATTGCATCCTACATGCAGGAAGGATTGTCACCCAATCACTTGAAAAAAGCAAAGCTCATGTTCTTTTATACTCGTTATCCCAGCTCCAATATGCTGAAGACCTACTTCTCCGATGTAAAGGTAGGGACGTTTTGTATTATTTATATTTTTTTCAATTTCTGTGCATGTCATCGTGATTTGAACTCTTGGGAGTGTCAACGGAGATGAGTGTGGAATCAGCTCATTGATACACCTGTGTTGTATTGATTGAGTGCACTTGTCCTTCTGGCGAGAGCTGGGCCCAGCAGAGCCGCCCCCTGCGTGTTAAGACCACAGGACTGGTATTAAGAAGGCACATGGTTTCCATGGTAGTCAGGGAAGCCTAGCCTCTGCCTTTATATGTCTTAGTAACTTCTTGGAAGAAGTTTCAGCTGGTACTGAATGGATGTGCTTCAGAGGGTGTTTTTCCTCCCTCCTCTCAGCAACGGCACACTGTTTCTGTTTTTATTTCTGTTACTCTCCCCATATTTGTGCTCCTAAAAGCAAACTCTAGCACCTCTTTACCCCCCTGCCGAAAGGGAGCGTACATTGAAATTCTCTATGCAGTAGCTGCTGAAAAACAAAAGTGATGATTGTCTCTTATTTACAACTTAATTTGTTGTTGATGTAGAGTACACTGAGCATAAGGAGAATGAATAAAGTGACAGATTCAGGACACATTATTCAAATGAGGATATGAAAGCTGTCGGCCCTACAGCTGCAGCCTCCCTCGTTCTACAGAATGTGGGGACCTCCTGGTTCTGTGTGCGTGTCTCTGTGCGCGCCTGGGTGTGGGTTTGAAGTAATTGTCTGCCTCGACTTGATGTTGTGTTAATCATCTGTAACTTTTTAAAACATAGATTGGGTTTTGATGATGATAATGACACGCACGGTATCATTATCCAAGGATCTTGCTAAACATTACATTAGCTGAGATTAGTTTACTGGGGGTGGGTGCTTTCTAGCCCACCCTCCTTTCCCCACCCCCATATGTACG